AATAGGATGTGGGTGTGGGGTTCCTGCCCTCTTTGAGCCGCGGACCCGCCTCGCCGGGCACCTAGGTCCTTACAGGGCACCTAGGCGGGACCACCCCTCCTACTCCCGCATCCTAATATGGATAAAGGTTACAGTGGGTGAGGAATAGTACGTGCCTTGGGCAGGGCGTCCCCCACACCAAGGGCCATTAGTAGGACGTCTCCCACATCAGGCTGGTGCGCGTAACAGTGTCAATGTCGGCTGTCAGGGAAGTCGGGAGGGTGAGACGCGCACATGGGGCCTGGTGGTCAGGCAGACAGCATCGGTGAGTGGCAGCATGTGAGATTGCTGAAAAAACGTGATGGCGGGAATCGTGGCATCCACAGTGCATCAAATCTGAACGAAAGGGTCTTCTGGCGTGGTTAGAAGTACATGACAAAAGAAGAGGCAAAGACACTGCGAAGACACCAAAAGCGCGGCAGTACATTTGGCAGGGTGTACAAAGCATAAATAGGCGTGAAAATTACTGCACCACACAACACGAGTGTGGTCAGCCGCCCGGCGCTGGCTCGTGGCTATTTGTGGTGCTAACGCAGTCCAGTGCTGCAGTCATGAGGAGATGCACGACAGGACAGATGCAGTACCACAGGAAGCCGACAGACAAGACGAAGGGACAGAACACAGAAAGGAGTGACAGGCCGCCATAAGTACGGCGGTGCTTTATTCAGAGCAGACCGAACGCAGCAAAACGGCTATGCTTCTGAAAGCAAGGCCATGTTGATCTGTTGTGGATTAATATTGGGGAATGGAGGTTCATTGGGAGGACTGAGTTGTGCAAGTGTAGAGATTGGGGGTGAGAACTGATCCGTTTTAGACAAACTGGTAACATTGACGAGGGACACAGCAGTATCATGGAATTGAGATGCACGCAGTCTGCTATGACAGTGACAGCAGTAGTCAGACACATGGTATGGCAACTATGCAAGAGGCTCAATCCACCGGGCGATCATGGTGTTTGTGGCTATGGTACCTGTCCGAATTGCAGTGTGGACTGTTGGAGGCACTTGGCTGAAACACGGACTACCAGTCCAGCAGATGGCTGCAAGGGGAACGGCAGCTTGCAGCAAGGGATGTGCCGTTTCAGGTCTCTGTCAGACTCTTAATGGGCAGAACAACATGTGGTGTCAGCGAGCACACAGCTGACGACCTGTGCTTGATCCCTGGACTCATGTATTCTGACAACACCAGCACCCCCGTGGTGGAAAACCTTCCGGACGAGAAGCCTTCGCTTTCTTCAGTCACAAAATCAGAGGTCCATCTAAACACGATGTTCATTGGGCGTCCACTGAGCTAGTTAGTGCAATCTACATGGTGGTGTGTTTGTTCTTCTTCTGCGGTCGATCAGACACTCCCATCATGATATCTGCTGCGGCTTTGGTCAGTCCCCAGTTTGGTACACTGCCTGCTGCTTTCAAAAAAGCACCCCTGACTGGGGGCAACAGCCATCAAACTCATCCCAGTTACATTCCCATTCTCTTGTACAATCCACACCATGACAACGCTTACAACAGGTGTCCTCTGAAGTGAAACAATCACAAAAGCAAGCACAACATGTCACTGCCAGTCCACAAAGTTGACCTTCCGAACATCTGGAAATTTGTCCTTGATTGCTGCCTCGATGCCCTTGCTGATGGGCATCGGACCCTTGAACTGCAGCTCGCACACCCCCTCCTCCACCCCCACAACCCTCACGTGGCCCCCATACCCCTCGATGGCGGGACGCAGGATGTTCAGGTGCTCATCCACGCTGGCCGCGCTGGCGCTGGTATCCTGCTGGTCCACCTGAATGATCTCCTTCAGCCTGTCCCCAAAGGACGCCCTCAGCGTCCTCTCGATCCCCATCTTCATGGTCGCCGTCGACGAGGGGCAGGTCCCGCAGGCGCCCTGCAGGCGCACCAGCACCGTGCCGCCCTGCACGCCCGCCACCTCGATGTTCCCCCCGTCCGAGATCAAGTACGGCCGCACCTCATCCAGGGCGGCATCCACGTTCTCCACCGTCAGCTCCGCCCTCTGGCTGGCGTTTCCGATCTTCCTGTGCACTTGCGCCCGCGCGAATGGGCTGATCACCGGCTCCGGCGCCCCTCCCGCGGCCTGCCGCGTCTGCTCGTCGATCACCGCGCTCCAGTCGTCCCCCTCCACCGCCCGAATCGTCCTCATCCTCCTCTCCTTCGCGCCGGCCGTCTCCCCGGCCACGTCGTCGTGCAGGTTCTCCCCCATCGCCTTCCTGAGCTTCAGCTTCTTGCCCTCGTACTCCTCCAACTCCCTGGACGACATGCTCTTCACGCCCTCCGACCCCTCCCACAGATGCGCCTCCACGCCATTCCCGGGCGGCACCGTCCCCGCCTGGTCCATCCAGTTGCGCGCCTCGCGCTCCAGGTTCGACCGTGTCGCCATCGCCCTGTTCATGAAAACCATCGGCCGGATGAAGGCGCACCGATCCTCTCCAACCCTCCCGGCGTGCGCCTTGACTGCCAGCACGATGTTCCTCGAGAATCCCACGTACTGCAAATTCCTGTCGACGTCGTACAGCGCATACACCCCCACGGGCTTCTCCCCATCCCTGGTCTCCAGGTAGGCGGACACCGGCAGCGTAGTCGAGCCGTCGTCCTCCCCCCTCCTGAACTCATACGCCCTCCCCTCGTGCTCATCCGCCCCCCCCTCCCCATACAAATACCCGTGCAGCCCCTGGTGGCCCTCCGGAACATTGTCGTCGGTCACCACGGCCGAGGAGAGGGCCCCCGGGACCTCCTCCCCCGCGGCCCTCTGCAGAGTGCGGCGGGATGCCGAGGCGGACGATTCGAATCCCGCCCGGCGGTCGGCGGGCGATCGGAGAGACCTGATCCAGTGGGCGCGGCCAAGCGCGATGCAGGGATCCACCGGAGGGCCGTAGCGTGCGCCGACGCCGGCCATGTCGCCTGTGGCGCGCGGCGCGCCTCGGCGTGTGCTGGGCGTTGGGCTTGGTGCCGGCAGGCACCCGCGTTCCAGGTCGGGGGAGCCTCCATGACCTTTAACTATGTCCGTCAAAATCTGGGAAGTCAGGCAATCGAGATTAATTTGTTCGGCAGTGCACGTGCATGGGAGACGGGCGTGGAAGAATCTGTGGTTGGCTGGGCGCTGTGGGTGGGGGTTGGGCGGGGTGCCCCCTCGCGTTCTGCGACTTTGATATCTGACGGCGTCTTTTCACGGCTTTGTTCTGTCCATGTGGTGGGTGGATTTCGTGGCTTCTGCGCTGTGTGCTGCTGCCGATGAAGGGGCAGGCAACTGGTGGATTCCTTTGGCACCCAATAGGCTATCGCTTTGCTCTTTGCGTAGCAGTGACAGTTGATATTTGTTATTTACTGTGCGCCAACAGCGGCGCATTAAACAGGCATTGGCACATTGGATACTTCCGGGCCACCAAAATTTGTGTGCATGTTGTGACGCTGTACCCAGGAAGGCCAGCAGCATCATCTGGCGAAGAAGCCACTGGCAAAACCTCAACCATTTTACACGTCACCCAGAGAATAAATCTTGTTGAATCAACAGAGATTGTTAACAATAAAAGTTGTAGGAAATAGCAAACGGCGCAACCGGGTTGTAAACCGGACAAAGCGCTGAATTGTTGACCGTTTTCTGGTGCGTTTTTCCATCTGTGAGCGGCGCTCTGCGTTGTCGACCATGCATTAGAAACCAGCATCCAGAACTTTCAGCTTTGCTCTAACATTCTCACCACGCAACTTTCTCTAAAGTTTGTGCAAATATGCATATGGGTAAATGGGACAATATATTGTACAACAAATGTTGCGGCAAATGTTTCTGTGCCTAGCCATCTGGAGAATCGCCTTGTAGCGGTGATGAGAATTAACGCCAAAGAACGTGGCCGGTGATGCAGTAAATGGTTCATTTGAAACATCATTTAATTTGACAAGTTTGGAATGAAATGATCTGTACTTACGAGCAGCATGTTTAGTACTACTGTTGAAACAAAACAGGCATTATTCAACAATTGGACAATGTTTAAATATGGACTCAAAACATGCTGCGCGGGCAATACTTTGGCCACCTAACCGCTGGAGTTTCAAGAATATTTAATGAAATGTGTGCATAAAATCCCAGTTATGTGTCAATTAAAGCACGTATTTATGCCTCACAAGGCACGAGTGAATTACATGAAATGCCCCCTGAGTTCCGAAACCACGAAGCCTTGTGCAGATCTGGTCCCCAAACTTATCCCACTCCTGTCTGTTACTTTGCTGCATCAGCCACTACATCTCTGAGAATGTCCAAACTAATCTTTTCTACGTCTGAAATCCTTTTATTCGACATGAGGTGGGATATAGACAACTGAAGCACATCATATGTAGTCACCCCAGGAATATTGAGAAGCAAATCTTGAACCTGGGGCATTGTCAAATGCCCGGATGGATTCCACTCCTTGAACACTGACTGTAACACCTGAGCGCATTTCAAATCAATGGCATCGAGTCAGCATCATCACCTGCCCAGCAATTCCATTCGCCAGGCTAGACATGCTGTCCGCGGAGCGGTCTACGATGACAAAATTTCATGCAACAGTACCATGAACCCATAGAGATGTAAAGTGAACTCGTTAAATTCATGTGCTTGAGCTTCGTGGAGTGCAGCAAACGTTTTCGCTTGCCCCTGTGTGCTTTGTCTTCATAGTTTTGTTAGCATATATCGTGTTTCACCAAAACAGGTATTTGAAGTTGTTTCGGATTCATGCGCTGCAGCCTACAGGATGGAAATATTTAAGCCCGACGTTCCACAACAATTTTTTTCTAGATGATTGTGTTGCGGAATATGAATCCAAAAAAGGGATCAATGAACGGCTATCACGCGTTACATTGGGTTGCGTTCACCAAGGCATGAGGACCTATATTAAAAGCATCGTTTTCTGGTGCTGCATGTCCATGAATTTTCGCGGCTGTTGAATGCTTACAGAACGCCATATTAGGGGTTGGTGAGGCAGGTAGGGTGCCGCAAGCTCTCCAAAGGGCTGCAGTGCCAACAGCTAATTAGTTGACGAATACTTCCGGAATCATTTACTTCAAAGCCATCTCATTGCACCGCCGAATAGCACGCGATTCATGCAGTTACAGTATTTTGTGTTCTGTAGTGAGTCTGCACCCAGCTGCGCATGGAGACACTGCTGACTTACAAAGTGTACAATGACAGCATCAGTTGCAAACTCTTGCCAAAGTCTTGGCAAAGTCTCAGCATGCGTCCCAGGCAAAAATAAAAAGTTTCCAATACGCTATGCGCTGAATGAAAAAATCGGCCAAAATGCACGGGTTCTAACCGTATAAAAATCATGTAAAACTGTGGCAGAATCATGCATATTCACCCAATCGTTACTGCACGGTTTAACGGGATTTTTGCACGACTTTCAGAACCGCGCATTTTGGCCTTTTTTTTGATAGTGGCGCCTGGCATGCGAACCGAAACGAAGCTCGCCTGTCGGTTTTCGTTGATGTACTGAAGCAGAGCCCCGGACAAGCCGCGAAGCCGGACGCCTGCAACGTGCCCCTCGTATATTTCTCTGCATTCCTCTATTCGACTACAGACGTGCTCAATGGGAAGCGCCCCTCCATTTGTTCCCAGTGACAATAATTCCTAGTCATCGGAAGACAATTGTTTAGAATTCGCAGTCGAAAACACCGCAATGTGGAAATTCCCATAGCTGTTTCTGCTGCGTAAATTCAAACATTGAAAGTGGTTTACATAATAACGCATATATTCATAGGAATGAAGTCGAATGTCCATCATGCGCATGTTCGGGACGCTGCCCTATTCTGGGTAAGGGCGCCATGTTTAGGTTAGTGCAACATGGTCAGATCCTGCCGCCAATGTCCAGCATCTGGAGACCAAAAGTTCTGTATATGGACATGTTCAGTATACGCATATGTCGGAGATACGGCACCCTTATCATAACCGATATCCAGGAAATGAAACCTCTTGCTGGTGTCAAGAATGTGCAAATTGAGTCAGCATTCGGCTGTCGCAGCAACGAAGCACATCCATTCATATTTGATGTACTGACTTGCTCCGTAGGCCCTGCCCACTTGGCCGCACGTAACAATGCTGCCAGAGTGAAATTTGTACCAACATGTAATACTTTGCCACCAGTATCAATAATCTGGGGTGAGGAATCAAGCGTGCTGCAATTCGATCCACTGACCTTGAAATGATCTTCGTCCATATTGCCTATATTCGGCACCCAGCTTCTTAACAAAACAAGAATATCTTCCATATTCATTGTAGAACTTTTCTTCCCTATGTCCCCAAAGACCTCCGGAACGGTTCTGCCGGCAGAATCCACATTAATGCAAAATTTCGAGAAGGCGTTCTTGAATTCAACGCTGTCGACACAATATGGTGACGTTGCTGATCGTGCCAGAGGAAGCTTTTCTTCATCCGACACAGCCGAACTGCCGCAACTGGCTAACTTAGGCGCCGAAAGCGATCCTTCAAATGGCGGCGAGGTTTTATTGTTACGTTCACCACAATATTCTGAAGAGTCCTTTCTTTTGGTGGTGCACCGTCGTAACAATTCCCTCGTTTTCTCCAAGCTATCCATGACGATGTCCATTTCCATATCCATGCCTTGTGACAATGAATCCCATTTTTTAGTGCTGGCACTCATCGCCGAGCACACAAGGGATGCTGTACTGGAATCAGAGCAAGCGCTTCCGGACCTCTCCCCTGCCGCATTCATACATCACACTCATGCGTCCACAGAATGCATTCACAGGTCACACTCACAGTAGCAACGAATCCCGTCACTTCATAATGCCCAAAGCTCGAAAGAAGATGAGAACCTCATTCACGAAAACCGATGCAAGTACTGTGAATCACTGAGCCTTGTGCAACTTGTTCCTGTTAGGCGTTCTGGGGCTCAAGAGAAAGCTGGCAAAATTTCTGATTCCCACCTTGTTTGCTGAATGAACAGTGTTTTGGCTTAATTCCGATCAATGCGGAAGCCGAGCGAGCTTCCGGAAGGTCGAGCGATTGCAGACTGTCTCGACTGAAATAGATGTCGAGAGCGCGGACGCCAGTCTTCAGTATGTCGAAGTCCTGCGTCACGGGGTTGTGCACAAACGTGGAGAGCGGATATCCTGTCGCAGCGTCCTCTGAGGCTGCAAAAGGTACCTGGAAGAAAGCATCGGAGCAGTGTGCACGCAAGGTGTTGCCCCAGAGCCTTCACGAAGCAGCATTGTGCCGCCCATTTTTCTCGTGTACTTGGATATCATGTACAACAAAACTATAGATTTCCTCTCACAAGTTACGGTTTTGTACATTTAGTATAGAAAACATAGATGCAGGCGACGGCCTTAAATTGTGGTCTCACCCCTGTTGTCATCCACAGGCGCAGGAGAAGTTTGGCACCTTCTTTGCTCTGCTCAGATATGCGGCAGTCCAAAAAGTCGACCCTGCCTCCGCAGCCTTCATCATTTTGTTGAACAAACGACGAAAAATCTCTCCAAAACTTCTCAACATGGCTTTGCGAGAGGTTGGCCGACGTCGTCTTGAAACATCTAAGAAGATCTGGGCAACGTCAGCGCTGTAAGAAGTGCAGCTTACTGTGCAGTCTTGAATTCATTTTAGCTATGATGTGTAGGCGCAAGTTTTTCTAAAGGTGCTTTGATTGCTACTTGGCTTCAATCAAAGCTTTTTTTCATCTTTCATTATCTCAAGCTTGCAAGCTTGCGATTGCAATTGCAATTGAAACTATGCATGGAAATAATCAGTATCCCCTATGGAGCATGCGCATCGCCGACCCCTGTCACTGTGGGGTCACGGTGTTGAACCCCAGTGAACTTCAATTACATGTTAATAACCATTGATTGAATGAATTTACATCCATCCATGATCTGTTATGGTGAAAACCACAGTTGAAGAATCGCGTACAC